TTGACCATGATATATGAAGCTTGTTCCTTTAAATGAAGATAAATGAATTTTTTGAACGAGACTCCCTGTACATAACATCCGACTTAGTTTCGAAGTTCCGGCGTTGACAAAGATAAATTAGAAAATTTAATAGAAATAAGGGAGGAAGGAAGCTTAAGGAAATTCATAATTGTGCGAGCCAACGGTTTGATGAAAAATGGGGATGGACTTCTCTTTTAAAGAAGATAGCTTACTGCGGTCCTCCTATCCTCGTCGTGACTCCATATTTTCTCTTTGTAAAAAGATTACAGTGGAAGGAGCAGAAGAGATAGAGAATTCTTTCCTTCTTTATAGACTTTCATATAAAAATTTCAAATTACAGATAGAGATTATTTCAATTATAAAGCTCTTCAGTTTCTGCTTTCATGTTGCTAAATCAGTCTTTTATCAAAGTTTCATGCTCAAATGAAAATAATCCTCCATGACCTATGCTGGTTAATTATATAAAATTTTCATATCATACATTTAATTTCAAAGTCTTTAATTTCTGTCCTTTTATTGTCACGTTAGTCAATGATGTCTCTGTTTGCAAACGTATAACAATTTATGTTTTAATAAATGTAATTGTTTAATGCGATAAAAGTGTACAATTAGAATTGTTGGATTTGATTCCCATGATAGAAAATAAAATGCAGCTATTTGCTTGCGTGCCTTACGTTCTTGAAATTTTGCTGACCATTCTTTATCTGTTCCAAAGAGTCGGGCCTGGTTTCGGTTCCGATTCGCTTCCGGGCGGTACGTGACCGGAATCGCCATTGGCACACGTTTCTGAAAACCGGAAGTCCTCCACGACTCGGAGCCACGGGTTCATCGGGTTCGGTGAGTAAGTGCGCTATCGTCTTCCCTGTTTTACCAGCTCTCTTCCCTGTTTTTTTTATTCTTTATCTATCGCGAGTAGTAAAGCCGGAAGTTTGAATCGGGCGCCGCGTTTTACGACTTTGTCCGCTGAATTACAATAGGGCCTCCACCCAGTCAGCTTATACGATCGAAACCGTGTCTCCCAAAATGTATTTTCACATATTTTACAGAAACTAATTGTATTCACTCTTCGTGAAAGGACAAATCATTTGTTCTGCAAATAAATTCTTTTTCGGAAACAGTTCTCTGCTCATTTGTCTCGAGAGATTAACTTGTTCAATGAATTCAATGCACTTTTATTCGTATATTCAATAGATTTAATAATAGAGATTGTAATAATGCTTCTTTTACCAAATTTCCAGGTATTACGTTCGGCGTGTAATGAAATTGGCGAACCACTGATAAGAGAAAGATCCTCTCGCGGTTCGAGGTAATCAAACTGTACATACATTGCGGGTGGAAGCCGTTCGGTTGATTTAGGAAGTGTAGCGAACTATGCGATCCCAGCCAGAAACTGAGTGAACCTGTTATGGTCGCGTTAAACGGACGTTGATTAGGTTCGAAGTTTATCAAGATCGTTATCGGTTAGCTTATGACAAAGTACGGGAATTTACTTATTTAGATAGTGGTTAATGGGAGTAGGAAGAGAAATGAAGTTTTCATTATAGAAACTCTCTATACTGACTTACAACATATATCAACCTCTTATAGCACGTAGTATGTAGAATTTATTATTCATTTATTTATCTGTGTCTACTTATCAGTAAACCACCAGCCCACGGTTAGCCACGGTCGCCATAATTAACCAGAAATTACGACTCTGGTTTAGGGTGCGCGCACGTTAACTAAATGCCACGCGAATTTATATTCTACGACGTGTTCCCTCTGCTTCCCTTCCTGATAACCATGATTTACGTGTTGGTAACCCTTATTATTCTCATTACAATCTTCTGAGACAACATTTCCTTTAGTTCAGACATACATATCTCGTTTCTATACTTCCTTCCCTTGATCACGCGTATACAACTACATATGGACTTGAATCAATCTGATTCTGTATTATAACAATACTATATTACTTATTTCTTCTCTTATTATGCTCATTAATGTACATACAATTTCAATAGTAATGTGGTTTTCCAATTTGGTCATAAATATTCGATTATAATTATTTTCCTTACTTGGATTGATCTTCCCCTAACTTTATCACAATTTTATTTGTGAATTTATTATATCTAAGAAATCGTGGAATATGAAACGCCACGTTTATCGATCTCAGGCCTTATTACCGTAAAACCAAAACGAACCACGTTTTCTCTTATCCGTACAAACATTTAATACCACCAACCGCAGAAAACATTACGCGATTATAAACGGGACTCTGGCTGGCTTAATATTCGCGGTGAGATTAAACGAACCAGAGAGATTCATCGTTCTCTCGTACTCATTCTTTTTGGTTTCAATTCTGATGCTAGCCTGGGATCGTTAACTATTCCAATTTTTAGAATATTAGCGTAATAGAAGAATGGTATTATTAATTAGTAGGAGAATCAATACTAATTGAATATGCAAATCTTTGAGCGTTCCATTTTGAACAGGTTGTATTGCATTCTCGAAATATAATATATTTTTATTCGTTTTAACATTATAATAATACAAAGCAAATTCCTAGTTTATATTTAAGCATCGAAGTCTCTGAGCTTCGCAAAACAGTCTCCAGAAAATATTCGACAGTATTTTCTTACGTAACACTGAAAATGGGTTATCAGGTGACATCGTCGCTTTCCATTCATATTCCATTGTTTCTTCGATATCTGGCCAAGTTCCTCGCTCTTTACGTCCCATCCGTTCGTGAAAGTTTCCCCTTACGGGAAATCGATGGAACGACGGGGTGGGAAAGTCGTGTCATTAATTTTTCCGTCTGTTTCACCCGCGGTTCGAGCAAACAGGCAAATATTTCTCCTGATGCCACCATCGACCCCTCCGGCCAAATCGAACTTCCCAGTTAGCTTCTTCTTTTGATACGGATAAAAGTTGCAACTACAATTTCCACCGGACGATAACGTTCATCTTACACGAGATTCGCTTTGTTAGAACGTTCAAAGTTTGATGAAAAAAATCTCAAGTACTTGCGCTGACAGTATGGATACATTTTTTATTCATTTAATTGCAATAATGCTCTGTGTGAAAACGCAGTGACTGAGATATCAGGTCTATGAATTATTTCGTCTAATACCCTTAATGCCTTCTGGTAATAATTCATGCGAGATGAGGGATAATTTGAAGAATAGAATATCAGAGGGTTGGAAGGGAACGAGGGTCGTTTTTGCCTTGACGCATCTTCCGGGCAAACTACCACCATTTTGTCACGGTCTGTCGATAGCAGACCTTCTGAGTAAGGGAAACATCCCCTGTCTTACGTGGGGATCGAAAGACTCCATCATGAGTCTAGCACGGTGAACTCTTTATACATATTTTGGAAAATATTTTTTCTATGAATATTTCAATAAAGTCTTCTACTAAAAGATTGCAAATCATATTTCTATTCAGTTTTGTATTAAAAGTGGTGAATGATTTAATAATTATTTGTTTAATATTTATTTTTGTGGATCATCCGTGAAAAGAATATTTTCGTAAAATGAATTGAAAACAATTGTAGAATTTGAAAGCGGCAGAAAATAGTTGGGCGACGATTCTGTTAGCGAGACAGCGTCGCATTAGGAGGGGGTGGCTTTTGTGCTGCTCTTTGGGAACGGTTAAATCGCGCGGAACCCGGAACCCAGGCAAGCAGCTACGAATTATTTACGGCAAATGGTGGAACGATGTCGCACGGTCATCACTCGGACAGCTCGTCGAGCTCGATTAATCTCTCGTGACGGGTGTCTCCTTCTCTTTCCTCTGCTATCTTCCATTTACCCATTTTCCACACTAATTACACGTTCACGCTTCAACCATTCCAAACGTAAAATATTAATTTTTCAAATTAACAAAGAAGTACGACGGAGTTTATAATTTCAAGCGCGTGAGAATGCGTTTCCTGGGATGTTTACTTTCATTGTAAGTAGTAAACGCTTTAAATACTGAGACATAAAATGTATATGACATTTTAAATTCTTAAAAAACAGTAAATTGAAGAAAAATTTTACATTTTACAGCTTATATTTCTTACTGTCTATCATTTGAAGAACAGAAGAGCACTTAATGTGTTTAAAAAGAGAACCTTGAATGGATCGGAGGCAACTGAAAACGGAAAAAGCTAGAAACGAAACTCGATTACCGAGTGAAACAGGGGAGAGCTGAAAGGGTAAACAAATACAGAATAGAAGAAACAATGGAAGATAGCGAAGAAAAGGAGGTCTAACGAAGCAGAAACTCTTTGGAGTCTGCGGCAATCACGACGCAGGGAAGTAAGGGCAAGAGTTCGTTTCGGTGAGCTTTGAAACGTGGCTCTGATCGTGGCACATCGGTAGGAACAATGAAGAAGAATCAGTTACCAGATCCCCGGACCCTCTCGTGACAATGACTCGACCGAAATGTTCGCGGCTATGGAAGAGGTCGAAAAGGCGCGATTGTATCTGCCCCGGGAACCGTTAAACATTCAGACTAATTATTAATTATTGCCGAAAAGAGATCGCTCTTTCACCTCTAGTTAAATCTGATTCCGATCGCTCTGCTAATTTTATTAATCAAATTTAGACTGCAGCTCTTTGCGAGGAGCGAAGCATTTATGATGTCAAGTTAAAAATTCATTTAGTACGGAAATTTCTTCTATTATATAACATATTCATTTTTTAATCGATACCATGAAAGCTCTGTCGTGCAAGTGCACTTTTAACCCAATAATGCCCGTAGTAAAATATTCACACGTCTTTCGAAACTTTAAACTGCACGGTAACAATTATATCTAAAGTTTCGCTGAAAAGCCCGGGGGTGAAACCTCGATTCTGATAGCGTAACTAAATCTCGCGGCAAACTCGATTACCGGGTCGGCCGACCAGTAGTTTTAACTCGACCCGCACGCGACATTGCGGCAAGCAGTTACCACGGGCATTTTTTTATCACGGGCCTTCGCTTCACCTTTGACACGGCCGTGTGAAACTCACGTGAACATTGCCGTGGCTCGTCGGTGCCGTCGCCGCAGTCGTCGACCACGTCGCACACCTTGTTCAGGGCGACGCAGCGGCCGTTGCCGCATTGGAACTCGCTCTGTCGACAGGAGAACGCCGTCGTCGCCATAAGAACGCAGACGAACACCGGCCAATGCGTGCCTGAAACAAATAATCAATGTTTCGTATTAGCAATCGGCTAATCTCTTTGACTGTGTGACGTTTTTTTAATAAAACTCTTAATCAGTCGCATCTTATTAACATTAGAAAGACTGAAACTTAGTATATACCTATATTGCCCAAAGCAGTCAAAATGACTGCATTGTGAA